CCCCAAAACCCCAAAACCCCAAAACCCCAAAACCCCTGTATACCGCAATAAATTAAAAAATCATTCTTAAAATTATTATCAAAATTATTACCAAAATGGACCCAGAAAGCGACTGTAATCCTCTTCTCTAATCTATAGGCAACATCTGTCTCGAACGTATCACAGAAGTATACACTCTAAACTGCGGACACATCTTCCACAAAGACTGCATCACCATCATAAAAGACTCGTAAAACCTCCCTAACTCTTTAGCAACCAACCCAAATGTCCCACATGAAGAGCCCCTATTTCAAGTAAGCACTTCTGTTAACATTCAGAGGACTTCCCGCTTAAAGTCTTCGTAAAAATGGAACTTGAAAACGGTAAGCTCCCTCACATCTTTAGAAGATGTAAGACTTGAGAAGTACAAAAAGTAAGTGAGATTTTGGGCTAAGAATAGACTGTGCAGGAAGAAAGATGAGGAATTACAGAAGGAAAAAGGTAAATGGGCTGGGTCATAGGAGTTTAGAGGAAAATGAACAGCTTGGAGACCAGAATGAGAAGATTGTTAAGGAGTTAGGAAAGATTACAAGCGAGCATAATGGTAAGTTTGAGTGGAAGATAGGGGGATTTATGATATAGAAATTGTCGAGAAAATGGAAGACTTTGAGAGAGATAATTAGCTTTGTAATACCCATGTTCTTATTTATAGCTATGTGCTAAAATAAAGGTTCTAAATGAATCGCTCTTGCAAGCGGAGTTGGAAAAGAACTCCATGGCTAAGAAATGAGACTGTCTCAAGAAAAGAGATGCTAAATATAAACAAATTATCAGTGAAAAAAATAAGATTATCAGTAACCTTGAAAGTCTCAGACGGAAGGAAGAACGAGTCAAGAATTTGGAAAGACTCATGCAAGAGAATAAGCCAAAACAAAAAAGAAAGTAAGTCAGAAACTGATTTTAGGGAATCCCATGTGCCCACAACAAGTGAGGAGAGAGAACTCATGTCAAAATTTGAGAAAAAGCGAGCTCCTTTAATCACAACTAGTAATCTTCAATTCAAAGGTTTGAACAAGACTAAGACAAAAAGCAACGGCACAATTTCCTTTAAAAATTGCTTCACAAAGCAACAATTTAGTAAGTCAGATATTTGATATGATATTTCATTCTTATAGACATCAAGAAGCCGGCTCCTCCTCAGAAGACAAAGGCAGCACTGAAGACTGGGAAATTTACAGATTCGGTAGACTCAGACATCGACTTTGACGTCCTTGAAGAACTTCTCTCAGACTAAATTATTACTATTTTCAATAACTTTGCACAATTTTGGGGTTTTGGGGTTTTGGGGTTTTGGGGTTTTGGGG